AGCACGGCGCTGGGACAGAGCGTGGACAGCCGGGCCAACATGATGAACGTCAGCATCTGGACACGGGAGGAGAGAGAAAACGGGCGTCGCTTCCCTGCGCCCTCCGACCCGCAGGCCTAGAGCGCGGGTGTTCTCCCTGGGGTGTCACGCTGTACCCACGCGGTGGTGAGTGGCTCTGCACTTGTGCGAGGGATTTTGGTAAGAGCCTCGGTGGTATTCGAGACGCCCCCGCTGGCAGCCAAGGCGCAGGAGCTGCCCAGTTGGGCGCCAGCCTCAGGGGCGCGTGGTGCCGCGCTCTCGGTGGCTGTGAAGGGCCGGCAGCCCGAGAGGAACGGGGACTGCGCCCAGGGCTGCGGGGAGGGAAAGCAAGCGACAGTACGGAAGGGACGTAGCGCTTCCGACTAAGCTGTGAGGCCATCGGCAGTGACAGTGCTAAACCTTTTTTAACACAGCGTCACTGGCCCCGCTGCGCAAGTGACAACCATAAGCTTAAAGGCAGAACGAATTTATTTTAGGCTTTGGTAAATCTCCCACAAAACCAGCTACGTCCAGGTTGCGTTTCCAAGGCCACCACAGTCAAACTGGAGGTAGCCAGTGCCAGGTGAGAGGCTGCCGCAGCCGCAGAGCACAGGAACCGCAGGGCAGGAGCGCGCTGTGCTGTGGCGACACACCAGCTCCCTTCAACCCCAGGCCCCCGGAGCACGAATGACACCAGTGACGTCACCACCCTCCGGCAGTCAAAGCTCAGCACTCACCCGAATGTCATAGTGATCCTTCAGTCCATCCTCCACGTGGTTCAGGTACTCGTAGATATCCAGTCGGTCAAGGCAGCTCTCCAGCAGTGTGTACATGCATTCAAAAGCAGCCTTCCTCACGTCAAGGCCGTCATCCACTGTGTGCTTGAACGGCCCCATTTCTACCTTAAACGAGAAAAAAACCACCGCGGTCACCTAACAGCAGACAGGGCGACAGCTTCATCTCGGCTTCGCACGCACGGAGTCCGTGCCGCGCCGCCCCCAAGCCGACCTAGGGACGTACCTCCCGGATGAGCTCCCTTCTGACCTTCGTCTCGTTGTACAGGCTGGGCAGAACCGTGTTTAGCAACTCTCGGATTAAAGAAGGTTTGTTGTGAGCAGCAGAATTAAACAGGGCTAAAGCCACACGTCGCACATTCAGGTCTGGATCCTGAAGGGTTTTTAGGAAGTCGCCTGTGGGGTAAGAACACACCAGTCGGGCCGCTGCGGTGTTCTGGAAGTATTTTAGAAGTACATTTCAAGGAGCCTGGCTATGAAAGCACTTACCGTAAAGTACCTCTAGGGGCACAGTCTAACAGAGACATTGGAGATGCCTTCCCTCCCTCCCTTTGGGATGCAGTAAGTGGAAGGAACATGACTTTCCTGCATTTAAGCATGAAAACAAACCGCACGATTCTAGCTACCTCGTCCTAAAGTCAAATCAGAAGCTTTGGTGTTCGAGGAAGCTGGGTTTTGTTTTAGCCTGGCTCCAAAGCAGAAGGCCCAGTTTTATACCGCAGATCTGAGGTGCAGGCTCCCTAGAGGTAAGACCCTTTTAACATAGGTTGTATTTTCCAAGATCCTTGTCGTGAGATGCTTGAATCCTACGTTTAAATGCAAAAGGAACTCACGTTCCCTAAAACACTCTGTCAGCAACAGAACACGCCCAAGAGCAAGGCACCGCAGTACTTAACAAGGGCTCCTGGGGCAGTGTTGCTCTTCTCTGCCCAAAAGCAGAGAAACACATAAAAACTAACTGGATCAGATGAGGTTCACTAGGTGTGAAAAACGCCCGAGCTGCTGCTGACGCCCACCGTCTCCCGCTGCTGTTTGTGCCAGCCTACCTATGCAGCCTTTCAGGAGAGCATCGATGGGCTGAGGCTGGTCTGCGATGGTGAATTTGATTGCAGTCACCACCGTGCTCCGGGCGTGCGGAGAGGCTGCGACGGAGAGAAAAAACAGGGAAAGATCGAGAGACCAAATCATTGCAGTGACTTCGCAGCAGACTCTGGGTCACGTCACGCACACGTTGCAGAGGCAAGAGAACAGAGGCGCTGTCTTAACAACCTCCTTGTTTAAATCCTGCTCCCGCACAATCTCCACGTGCAGCCCCTGTTCCCAACGCCCCTGTGCAAGCCAGCGCTGCTCTGATCCCCCCTGCAGAGATCCCCCTTGTTTCCTTCTCGCCTCTGCAGACTGGCTTTGCTCCCTGCTGCACCCGCCAGCAGCTGACAAGAGGACTTCCCAGCAAGAGGCGGTGTTGCCCTGCTCTCACCATTGCCCTTGCCAGTACCTGATGTCAGCTGTTTCTTCAGCCGGGGCAGCAGCTCGGCAGGGTTCACCAAAGTCAGCTTCCCCAAGCACTCGGCCACCACGTTGCGCGTCCCTTCCTCCGCGCACTCGCAGTGCTTGAAAAGCAGAGCCCAGATATCTTCCACGTAAGGTTTGAGGCCATCGGCCGGGGAGGAGCTGATGACTTCCTTCAGCGAGTGCAGCAGGAGGTACTGTCGCTTGGGCTGGCTTCCGATCTCTTTCAGCATGAAGGGAAGATATTCCTTCAGATTTCCAACACTGATGTTGCCCAGTGCATAGGAAGCAGCGGATTTCACCTCCTCGCTGGGGGAAGTGAACGCTTCCAGGATGACGGCTTTGAGCTCCCTCTGAGCACTGAGGTTCGTGCTGCGCCCCATCTCTGCCAGGGAAAGGAAAGCTAGCACTTTAACGGCAGAGCTGGACCTGGGGCTCTTTACATCCTGGATAAACTGGCTGACGATCGCAGGGGCTTCCTTTGGGCAGGCTGAGGAAAGGGCGGCCACACACTTTGCCACAGAGTAATAGGCCTGTTTGTGCAACGTCACGGATGCCCCCGCTGAGCCCGAGGAGTAAACAGGCGCAGTCAGCTGCTTCATCAGCTCCGAGTAACCCACGGCGGCCGCCTTCGCCAGCACCAGCGCCTGGAAGAAGTCTATGATGGCGCTCAGCGCCCCTCCTTGGAGCAAAGGTGAGTGGACAAGCTGAAGGATTTCAGTGACGCTGATCTTGGAGGTGCAGGACGGATAAACCTTGGCCAAAGTAGTAAGGAACAGGATAGCCACCTGGGAAACGTGCATGTCGTTCTCAGTAATTAAAGCGGGCAGCTC